GGGGGGCGGGGAGAGGGGGGGACGGGAGAACACTGGACACCAGAAAATCTAACAAATAATCCTGGACAAGTTTTAATGAAGTTGCATTCTTGCAGGAACCAAGAATAAAAGAAGAAAAAGGATAGAAAGATAAAAAAACAAAAAGGGATAATTAAAATTGGGAAAAAGGACTTTGTTCCTTTTTCCTGTAATAGTTTAATAGTACTCCGAATACTTTTACAATAGTATAGTAGAGACAGTAGTATACATTTGATATATATACTTTTGTCTATTACACTTCATATATATCTACTCTAGTTTATTCTACTCTACTCTTCTTTTGTAGACTATAAATATAAACTCTTCCCTAGTAGACAATAAATCTACTCTTTTATCTGTATATTTATTAATCTATGGTTGATGCAAGGATCTTTTTTTATCAATCTATGGTTTATGCAAGGATCTGTGTATTTATTAATCTATAGTTGATGCAAGGATCCGTTTATTTATTAATCTATGGTTGATGTAAGGATCTGTCAATTTTTTAATCTTTGGTGGATGCAAGGATCTGTTTATTTATTAATCTATGGTTATTGATTATTGCAAGGATCTGTGTTTATCAATCTATGGTGGATGCTATGGTCTGTTTATTTATTAATCTATTGTCAATGCAAGGATCTGTGTTTATTAATCTATGGTTGATTCAAGGATCTATGTATTTATTCATCTATGGTTAATGCAAGGAACCTCCAACCCCGGAGTCTGAAACGTTTCCGTCCATATATTTTCTTCAATGATTTAACAACAAGCAAACAAATGTATGCATCGCAAATAAACCCAACATAACCTGATGCAAAGATTTGTATTACATTTTTTTGTTTCTTATTTTATGTTTTCATTTTGTCAGGATTGTCCAGTTAGATAAATCCAATCAGTTAAGAGCAATTGGACCATGTTCGATTCACAACGACGCCTATAAAACGGGTTTTAAGATATCTATCTTCTATGAAAATTTTTTTTTTCAATTGGCATTTCTATTCAAACTTTTCAAGCTGGAAAACAACGATTATTCATATTTTTAATCTTTTAAGGTTTTAAGGGTTTAAGGCACTTTTGTGAATCGGGCATGCCCCTCATTAAATGAAGAGTCACTTAAAAAATGTCAAGCCTTGTAAATGAATAGAAGAATGGAGGTTTTTTACCTTGCTGGATCCATATTATGCTACTGATAGCTTTAAATATACTCAATAACTCTGGTTAGCTTATAGAGGACGTGAGGTCGATCTCTAAAAAAACGCATAGAGTAACTTCCAGTATATATATTTCTTATAACTTTTACTAGAGGACTCAGAAATTGTGTAAATATCAAGATCACACGCGTTAGACTCAAAGTACAATGCCTCGTATCCGTTCTATCTCATTCCGGTGAATCTTGAGGAACTTGTTTTAGGCGGCCAGGTATCGTCTTCCACAAGCTGTTATTAAGTATCAAAACCCGTTGGAAAGACGTCAATTCAAGATGTCAGTTCCATGTACAAGTATCTGTCTGAGATGAATCTTACAAGAATCAAGAATTATTTTGTAGAAAATATTCACCCCTTGCCTAACCTTTCTTATCCCATTTGTCATTATGACATCATTTCTGACAATGGATCCAAAGAATTTCCAAACCCTCTCAGCAGTGATTTTGATTTTTTTCCAACCTGTAAGAATACATATGATAAAAATGAACAAACTGGAGCAAATAGCTGCATCAGCAATCAGCGAGAATTCCACAATCAGAGAAATTTGACACCTCTGCATGACAGTACCTTTCTATTATACTTAATTTGATTTTTCTGGCGCCAAGATATGAAATTAAAGAAAAGTATGAAAAAGAAAATTGCAAAAAAGTGAGCTCTGGGAAATATCCGTAATATTAGGGAGAAACAAAAAGCAGAAATATGTGTCAAAATTCATATTTTCTTTGTCTACACAAGGGATTAGAAAGCGTAGATCTACAAAAGATGAACAGAAAACAGATGTTTTATCAGCTAAAAAGGAATTACAACACCCAGAGAATAAATTTCCTGCTCTTTGCTAATATTGAAATTAAAAAACAAATGTTAAAAAAATATTTAAAAAAGAATACTAAAATTTAATTAATTTTGTTTAAACTTTTGAAAATTTCTATTACAGCGTTTTGTGTCAGGGCTGCAATAAATAAATTTCTTGTTCTAGTTTTCTAATTAGAACTGAAATGAAACCAGAAATTAGAAAAGATGATTTGCACTGGAAAAGACAGGCCTATAGAGCTGCATAGCTAGAGAACACTTACAAAAACTTAAAATTAAAACATTTGTACATTTAATGTAAACAACTGACGTCAGTGTTTTGCCCAGAGATTAATTGGAGTAAACAAAAAAGCAAAAGCAAAAAGCAAAGATACAAAATACAAAACCTTCTAAAGTAGACTAAATTCATAAATGTTATGTTTTATGTAAAAATTGTGAAACTTAACTCCTGAATTGGTATTATATGCAACAAGTGGCCGTTCGATGGCAGTCAAAAACCTTTAGTAAGAATATGGCATGTCGTGCCGGTGCGACTTTAGGCCTATTTAGCCCAGCTTGTGAAAGCTGATCAGCTGTCTGTACATATATAGTCTGTGGTTTTGCATCAATTACAGTTAAACAGATTTTTGTTTATCTAAGAATTAATGACGCTTTGTAACCCTCTTAATTAATACCTATTTTCTTCGAAGATTCTCGTCATATTTAAAAAAAAATCCAAATTTATTTTTATTTTTGTATAATGTTTTTCACTTTTGAATCCTTTGATAGACCATAGACCAATATTATAAATTGGGACCTTTCAATTCTCACAAAAAATCTGTATCTGATCGGAAAAGAAAATATCAATTACAGATTTTACATTTTTAATCACTATACTGACCAATCCAATCCAAAACGTTTTCTAATTGAAATGAGATATAGACATTTTTTAACGTAGTTTAAAGCTAATTAAGCTAGTTTTTTTTACAACAACATAATCGAGAAAAGAAAATTACCAATGATCGTCATAACATTTTTGAAGGTTCGTTAAAAAGATCCTAGTTTAGAATTATTTATTTTTCAGGGTTCTCGTCTGGGTTCAAGTGTAGTTTGGAGTTATAGCAGTTTATCTCCTCATCCTGTTCTTGTACAATTAAACGCTGCAGATAGAGCTGGTGTTCGTATCTCTACCTGGAGAGAGGGCGAGGGTGAGCTCCTATCTATCCTGGAGATGGTGAACCTAGAAGCCCGGGACGGAGGAAACTATATTTGCTCTGTACTCTACGGTTCATCCATGGCATATTCTCAAAGTGTGAGATTACACGTCGTGTCGGATACTCCAGAACCTGTTCTTAATAATATTCCGGGTACTCTTTATAATACAGTGATCTTTACTGGTTCAACCTTATTCAGTATACTCATACCATACACTAGAATCAAGGTGTATTCTAGCTAGAGGTTTTCTTTAAATACAGAGCAGAGACAAAATCTTATTCGAAATCCTTGGTTTGGTTCAAATAAACATAAACAATGGCAAATAAAGTGAAGACAGAATAAAGCCATTTTAAATTCATGATGAGTTTTATCAAACTTAAAGGGAATATATATATTGTGACCCTCCATTAAAGAGTGGAATTTCCGATTTACAACGGAACCCTTTACACCTCTGTCTGAGAACTAAATAAACAGATATCTTGAAAATTTCCATTTATTGTTTTATTTATTTATTTATTTCTAAAGTAAATAAGTATACATTCATACTTGATCAGACAAAGGTTTCAAGGGTACCGTTGTCAATGTAAAATGTAAAATGTAGTTTTCCTTCAAATTACGTATAGAGACCCTTTAAGCTTACAGTTTCCTAAGTTTCCAAGATTTAGTTTGTTCGTAATTAGGTATTAGTTATTTTCCCAAAGGCAATTTCCAAAGGGTAACTTCTCAAGTGACAATTTTCCAAGTAGCAACTTTTCAATGTGTAATTTTCCTAACGGTATCTTCCTAAAGATTAGGCTAGGCTCCGCAGGACGCAATGGGAGCCGACCACTGCGGCTAGGAAGGTATAGGGGGCCGAACTAGAACATGCTATTTGGGGGCTGAGCGCTGCATCTAGGATTGCCTTGGGAAGTTGCCGTTTACAGGCTCCATGGCGAATGGACCGTTCTTGTTCTTTAACTTGAAAGAAAGTTAAAGCTCGTTTTACAGTTTACTGGACTGCTGGCATTCAATTGTTTAGTATGTTTATTGTTTACCTTTTATAGAAATGTATAATAGACAACGGTGCATGCATCATGATTTGCGAAAAATAAATTAAATTGAATAACAATCTGTGATCTCAAATTAAATGTTTATTCGTTCAGTAGGATTCATAAAACATGAGTTGTATTATAATTGTTTTTTAATGATGTTTGTATTGTGGAAAGATGAGTATACATAGCTTGCGTTTACCAAATATGATTTGTGGCGCCAATATCGATAATGGTGACACTAAACTGTCTGCGGGGAAACAGACGAGAATATATTGAAGATTTATTAAAGGATTTACTACAGTGCCCTTCTTAGCTTTACCCCTCAATACAGAGAGTTGAGAAATGATTACATTTTTCATTCAACGCTCTAATACAGGGACAACAGGCTGGTTATCCCCCCCTCCCCTCCAACAGAAATTGCATTTCTCTTAATGAATCTTATGAACCCCACGTATTTAGCCAGCTTACCCCCCCTTTTAGAAAATTTAACTTATTTACAGTGGTACCCAAAAAAATGTGGAATAAAAAGACGACATTTAAGCAATATTTATGTGTATTTTATTTTTTACAAAGCAAATTGTTTTTTCTATAGCTGGAAAAAATTGCACAATTTCTGTTTTTCACTTCATTTGATATCATAGCTATAGTCTAACAGTTTTTCCACAGTTTTCCAATTGTTTGTTTCTAAATAAAAACTCTCAGACATTTATTTTAACCGCAAATTGTTGTGAAGTTGTATATTAAAACTTATGATTTATGGATCTTACTGATTATTGTAAAATGATTATGATGATAAAAATATGCATATATATATATATTGAACCATGTTTATTGACTGAAAAGGAGCAATCCGAAAAAATTTGTATTAACAAATATGAAAACTGAGAAGCTGCTCTGATTATTGCTTTATAGTTCCTATCTCCTTCCCTACCTTTCCCCTTTCCACACACTTCCCTTTCTTCCGCTGTTACCCTTCCCCTTTACCTTTACTTTTTTCTTCCACTTTTCCTTCCATTTTCCCCTTCCCTTTTTCTCCCTTTTTCTCACCCCTTTTCTTTTCCCTTTTCCTTCCCGTTTCCCTTCCTCTTTCCCTTTTTCTTTCATTCCTCTCCTCTTGGTCTTTTATTTCTTTCCACCCCCAGGGGGGGGGGGAGAATTTTATACACCCCTACAAGAAACTATATACAGGAACGCCCAACTCAGATATACGCAAATTGTGTACTGTGCACTGTGGGAGGAATGTAAACAAACCCAGTGCCCCCACAGAAGTGGAAGGGAAAGGACTTCAGCTCTGATGTGATATATTACAGTCCAACAAAAAACAAATTAAAATATCAAATTAAAGCGAATATTTATGATTTTTGGATTTCTGGTCAATATGGAAAATACAATAGCAATATATTCTTATTCCGCTCCTTGGGCCCTTTTCCCTCAAAAAAGATGCGTTGCCCCTGAATTCTTTGTTTAGATCTCCTCCCACTGCAGTACACAGATTTGACGCATGAGATATGGCAATGGCGGTTCCAAGGTTATAATGCAAGGAAAGTTAATTGCTGTCGCGTATACTCTGCGTACATATTGAAACCAGTTCTCTCTGGGCGGAATTTGTAAACAAGAATAGATGCATCAGTGTTCGTTTAGTATCCGAGGAGGTTAAAAGCATTAAATTATGATAATTTTGATAATTCACATAATAGTTTCCTATTACCAGAATATTTCATTGATTTTTTATGTGAAAGATGGATCCAATGTCAGGTTTCGACATCCGTCTTGTGTTTACATTACCGCCCAGAGACAGTACACTGCAGTAAAAAAGATGCGTACACTTCTGAAATAACTTTCCTTGCATTACATCCTTGGGCGGTTCCTGGTTTACATATTTCTTGCACCCCTGTATAGGTCTAAAAACCTTGACCGCAATTGACATTTAAAATTTCAAAAACCCATAAAAGTCACGATTAAAAAAAATATATTTTTTAAAAAACACATCAAAATTGGTATCAAAAGATGCGTGGGGAGCTGGTGAATACTGTCCCTTTATTTTTGTTTCAATATTTTTAAAATGGTTTGATATGTGGATTTCTCCAATTTCAGAATTTCAGAATTCAGTGTATCAAGACGGATCTTAATGGTACCCGGTATTTTGATGTATTTTGAAGAAATGTTTCGCTTGCATTAGTGAATTATTAAATTCAAGCTTAAATTTCATAAAACCGGTTTCCGGTTGGCAATTTCAACTTGCGCAAAAATTGCCTTTTCTAAACCTTGTTTCAATATTCAAAACCAATCCATGCACATAGAGGGGAGTGCAATGGCCAAAATCGATTACCCTTACTCCATGTATCCAAATTCACAGTTTGACAATTTTAAATTACTTACATTATGCATACTACACTGTCTTAGAAAGTTCTGATACAGTGGCACCCATAAAACTAATGAATTTGAAGACGACTGTTAGACTCAATTAAACAGTCCAATAAACATGAAAAATGACAAAACTAGTCTGTTTTCAAGCTATAACCATGGTAAAGTATTTTGTCCAATTAGCAACATAAAATACAAATAAGATCGCATAAATGTCGTTTTCCTATTCCACAGTAGTATTGGTAATATTGTGGGAAACCGGACTATGAAATATGCAATATACATGTTTCACTGTACAGTGTACACTGTACACTCTATAAAAATATATTATAGAATAGATTTATATATGTCTAAATGTTATTTTGTGTGAAATTGCTCTATTTATATAAATAAATAAATATAACTCAATTTAAATATTAAAACAATAATTAAAATGCCAGAAAAATGATAAACTAATTCTTGAAACAGGTGTCTCGAAGTCCTAATAATTAATTAGTATGACCTTTATTCAATTTTATTATTTAAGCTTTTGCATAGACTCAACATTCAGGACACAAATCATCAAGGACTGTTGAAAAATTTTCAACGAGTTAATTGATAATTAAACACCTGGAAATGCCAAATTAAAAATATAAAATCTTCGCATTTACGATAATATTTTAAGAATTATTTGTCTTCTATTTCAGTTCTATTCGGGCAACAATAAGGTAAACTAGAATGCAACTGCTTGACAAAATGAAAAAGTATTAATATTGAAAGAAAACATTTTTGTAAAGTTTGGACGTCCATTATGTTTGTCTCGGCTTCTCCCCTCTGGCGTTACTTTTCCCTAGTTCTAAAATTTTTAAATTGAAAATTTCACCGCTTGAACCCATCAAATATAAACTAGGTTTGTTTCATTTGAACAATAAGATTCTTTAGTTTCACTTTAATCGTCCATATTTGTACACTTACCACTTATTCAGACAGGATTCATCGATTAAAACTCATGTTAAACCTTTGTTTAAAAAAAACAAATACAATGGTGGCCTTCTAAGTTGCTACCAACCTATTTCATTTTCCTAGGAAGGCTAGATCGCATGTGCAGTTTAAACAGCACAAATTGAGGCTATGCGAATGGGAAGGGAGTGTATTGAAAGGGTGAAAAATGGGTCAAATAATTGGGTGCTCTCCTCAACTGAGAATAATAATAGGAACCCGGAGAGGGGTCGGAATTTATCTTTGGAAGGAGCAAGTTGTCCAAAATTTGGAATTAAGGAACTGAAGTTAAGTCTGTTGAAACCTACAAATGCTCTGATTCTGAAACAATTATGCAAACTGTTCAACTGTGGATTATGGACAGCCGTCTCAAGATCAGCTGGACCAACTATACATCTACACCAATGGTTTGTAAGTCTCATGGTTGATGGTATGGAGTAACCAGGTATAATAGAAGTAAAGGATTCTGACACATCAAGCAGATTAACTGGGACAGCCTACAGGTTACATGTGAAGGTTTCAACACTAGATTAAATGAATCCTGAACTGAAGGAGACAGTCTTCAAGTAATTGCTGGATCAAATGTAGCTTTATTTTGTGGAGAAAAGGAAATATTTTCCAAAAGATTGAGAACAACATTCAAATTCTTAACTGACAGACGTCTCATTGCTAGTGGGTTTAAGTGCCATAAACAGAAAACATTTGATTAAATAGTAAAAAAAATTATTATAGTTTTTTCAAGAACAATTTCTGAAATTATTTATTTATCTTTTGAGATCCAATTCTGCACAAACTCCACATGGAACAAGAGAAGGATAAATCTATTTTTTCAAAGTTAGAGTTTAATTAAATTTTTATATTAAAAATGCGGGTTTACTTCCAAAAAGTTTAAAGGAAGCATTCATTTATTTTGTAAAATATCTCTTTCTCTCTTTCTCTCTTTCTCTCTTTCTCTCTTTCTCTCTTTCTCTCTTTCTATTCTAAAATGTTTGGGTCCTGGGTCCCACTGTGCACGGGCAGCCTTAAGTACATTTGAATTTCCGAGCCGGGTCAACCTTTCCGGTCCCAGTTTGTACTGGGTACGCGTTCAGACTTTAGGTTGAATTTACTTTTAGTAAAGGCTCAGAGGTGCGTGTGTGCAACCTCCAACTCAATTCTAATCTCTCCATGTAATGTAATTCCGACTTTGTATTATTATTATGTTTGAAGGATAGAATAAACAATATAAATAATAATATAGTTTATCAGATCAGATCAGATCAGATGAAGAAATCAAATATTTATTGGAATATAGATTATAGATTAAACAAAAGAATTCTTTCATATTTGGCAGATTCATCAATTCATAGACAAATAATGCTCTTACATAAAGGGACTAAAAGCGAAACTTCAAGTGATCCTCCATGTATAGATGATCATGCCCGATCAACAATGGTACCCATGAAAGCTATGTCTGATCAAGTATGAACTAGGTACTAGGTACCAATATTTGTTTCTTTAAACTGTTCATTTTCATTTGCACTGACTTTTTCATTTCTTGTTTATAAGAAGCAATGGAAAAGCTAACAGAAATAAACGCTTTTTGAGTCAGAAAAAGACGGTACATCCCACCTTTTTGTCAGATTAGGGGTTCAAGGGTATAGTGCACTTTACGCAGTATATCGTGTGCTGCAAGGTACTACATATAGGAACGCCAAACGCAATTATTCGCAAAAATCGTTAAGAATTTTGCCAATTACTCTTAAAAATCAAAGCTAAAAACAAAGGCATTATGACACTTCAAAGTCGACCATGTCTTAAAAATGGATGAGACTTTTTACAAGTAGGCTAAATCTATGTGAACAAACTTAGTCCTCCCACAACCGGTGCTGAGTATAGGACCGGTGCTGAGTATAGGACCGGTGCTGAGTATAGGACCGGTGCTGAGTATAGGACCGGTGCTGAGTATAGGACCGGTGCTGTATAGGACCGAAGCTTTAAGAAACGTCAGTCATGTTCTCAAACGAGCGGGGAAAGGCAAGGGGCCATAAGCCAAAAATGTTTTCCCCTTCCATGAACATATTACCTTTTTTGTCTTCCGGCAGCCAAAGCTACAACCCTGTGGTCTTCGGTCCCCCCGCTCCTCAAACTTGTGTTTTGACAGTAAATATCCAAGAACTCATTATGCAAATTTTCTTTATTAATTGTTATTCAATTTTCATCCCTTGAAAGTGCATATTCATATTTTCGCAATTTTAAGCCAAAAAATTATCTTACCTTTCCCCCCTCCGCCTCATCATGAATGCATTTATGCTCCTGAAATCTTTGTTTTGATCTCTTCCTACTGCAGAACTCAGAATTGACCCATCAGATAAGGTAGTTCCTATAAGTCAATATATATTTCTTGGTGGGCTGTACATAATTACCGATTGAAATGAAAATATTGCCATTGATTCAATTACCCCCCCCTCTCTTTTTTTTCAGGACCATTACCTTTAAAAGTCACAGCTTATTACATATACAAATGAAAATTTTCCTTCGACTTTTGAACAAAATTAATATTTAGAAAGTGTTTAGAATCTGCAGTTTTTCTGAAGAATTTCTCTTTTATAACTTTATAATCAATCTTGAGGTATATGTATACTCTGTATGGAGCTGCTTAAATACTTCATCTTCTTTTATAGCCGATATAAAGAAAGGGGTTTGTGCAAAAAAAAGAGGCAACTTTCATACTATGTGGAAATACGGAAAAGGATTTTGGATCTCGTATTTTTTATAGTTTTGATTTTGCTCAAGGGTTTCTAGGGTTTTCATTCACAACTGCACTTTTGCGCAATTTTAGCGAAAGAAAGCGCACATTTTTTTGCTTTTGTTGCTCAATTTTTGCGGGAAAAATAGCACTTTGCGAAATCATCCGCAAACTTCGTTTCGAGCAAAATTGCGCTATTCCGCTTTTGCGTTAATTAGTTTTGCGCAATTTTAATAAACAAACAACTCTATTTTGCAACCTAATGCATGATGGCACATTGCCAATCAAGATGTGCACGCTCACACACAAAAATCGAGCAGTATTTATCCAACTACTCCTTTTTAACTTAAGTTAGAAGATGACGTATATAATTTTTAAAATGTTGCCTAGAAAAAGAAGTAAGTTGACAAGGTAAAAACAAAGGCCTAGGCGTTGCAACACAAAGTTGAGGCTGTATAGAAATTTAATGACACAGGGTTGTCTATATTTCAATCATATGCATTCGACTAGAAAAATTTTTACAAAATAAAAAGATCGTACTCGGAATAAAAAGAGAATTAAAAATAAAGCTATCCCATGAACTTTGCAGACATGGTTTTGATATAAGAGTAGAACCAATTCCATGGAAATGTTAAAATGCTAGCTTTTAAATCAATTAGAATATTTGCTTTAGGTTCGATCTAAGACTGTTCAAATGAAATTTGGGTTAGACAGATTTGATCAGAGTAGATCTGGAGTATACAAAACCTCAGATGATTCTCGTAAATCTCCTGAAACAGACTGTTTAAAAACTCCGTCTCTTCTGAGATCTAGTGGGGTGCCAGGCACTGCCAGAACAACAGGAGGTGATTAAATTCAATATTTTTGTTCTCATTTGGTGGAAAGCCTTCTAGACAAAGTACCAGTTTGGCAGTTAATGATAAAATCAGAAAACTGTGGAATTTGAAAACGAAATTAAAGCAAGCTTGTGTATATTTGAAGTTGTAACAAAGCAAATAGTTTTACTTGTAACTTATTTAATCACATCAAGTTAAATGGGACTGTTTACACTGCTATGTCTCATGAAACCCCTATAACGTCATGATCACGTGATCAAATTGATCAAATTGATTCTAATTTCTACTTAAATAATTTTAGTGCCTCAATTTGAAGTTTTTGTTACTAAAAGCAACCAATTCAAAGTAGCAAAATCATAACTTTGTTTGTATGTAAATTTTTACATAAACATTTAGTTGTTTTATTAAAAAATTTTTGTTTTGCGTAAATACAAATTTTCAATTTGCGAAATAATTCCGCTTTTGCGCAAAAACGCGAAAAACTCATTGCGCTTCGTGCGCAAAATATGCGCAAAAGTTCGCAATAGAAAAATTACGCAAAGTTTACTCCCAAGAGTGAACAAACTTGATTTGCTGCGTATACAAACTTGATTTGCTGCTTATACAAATTTGAACACTTTTTTTAGATGGACAAATTAACTAAGCTAGCTAAATAAGCTCTTCTCAGGCATAGAAAAACGACATTATCTTCCATTATATATATTTCAATATGGTTTCAAGGGTAAAATTGTGAATCGGGCAGGCCCTTCTTCAAATGGAGATTACAACATAACTTATTTTTCCTTAACGTTGCTTTGTACACAAATCTGATCAATGTTTAATTCTCAAAGTAGATTTGTTTCTGACAGTTTAATTGAATGATAAGAGTCTAACATAGATTTTATAAAGAAACTGCACAGGGTGTAAAAAACAAGGATTCCATTTAGCAAATTAAATAGGGTGGCTATTTAATTTGCTAAATGGAATCCCTGTTTTTACACCCTGTGCAGTTCCTGTATACAATCTATTTTAGACTCTTATCATTAATATTAATAATAATTTGTACTATGTGATTGTTCCTTGCTTTACAATGGCCCATGGACCATTGCTAAACTATTTTGTTTGGTCCTTGAAAAATTGACTTTTCATAAAATAATCAGTTCGGTTAATTTTCCAAAATCATAGATAATTAAAAATAACAGATAGGACACTAGATTTTTAAGATTTATTGGTTTTTCGTTCACAACAATTCTGAGGAAGAAGCCCAAAGGAGTTCTGCGTGGCAGCGCATGCTTTCTCTCTCTGTCTTATAATTCAACACAGTTAAAAAGCACATATTTTATCTCAAATTTGATCTCACAGGGGGGCGGGGAGGGGGGAGCACCCGTGTGCCCCCCTCCTCTAGTTACGGCCCTGGATATTGGTTCTTTAATTCATCAAGGTTACTACTACTGTGTACCATGAATTATAACTAAATATAATATTTATTTATACCTTTGTGGATGTGTTGATGAATTGCCATCTTCTCAGTGAAAACCTTTTAGAATATTCAAATAATTTATTCAGAACAGAAATTTATATTCATGAACAAAAAATATTTGAAATAAAATTCATCGCGGATGCACAATATATTTTATATGTTTACAACCTGATGGGTGTAAACCTCTGATATTTTAAACTTAGATTATATTTCATCTTGGAGAATTCAAAGTTTGAACCCTAGTTTCATTTTAAACCTTGCTTAAATCCGTTTCCTCCGCCTACTTCCTTTAGAATCCCCCCCCCTGTTATTCCCTCCCTTGAATGTCATATATACACTATTAAATGTTTATATCTCTGCCTGGCAGTGGCCTGTATAGTGCCTGATTGTTTACTGTTTTATAACTACCTTCATCTTACATTACGCATTGTTTTAGAACAAACCAATTCTATTTCTCACGCTGGGGTGGAAATATTCTGTAGATTCATGATTTTAAAAAGGCTTAAATTAGTTTTGAAAATACAGATGATTAAAATATTTTCTCTGTTTTATTTCAACAATTTTTGCAATTACCCCACTCACGTACTTCGTGTACCCTTATCTCAGTATTCAAGCAACCCCCTTATAAAATAAAAAGTTCTAAATTTCAAAGTACTGATTACCAAGTAAAAATTACAAGATAAAAAGTACAAAGTACATCTAATTACAGCGTCAATAAAATTAATCAAGTTTTATTTAGTGAATATTTTTAGTCCTAGAAATGTATAAATGTAGAAGAGTTTTGCTTCGAAATGGTCGCATGTTTGTGTTAATAGTGTTAACACTGAGTTATATGATCGGTGAGCTGACCCATTTTATTGTAATGATCACAGGAAGCCAGTTAGCTAATGATATAGGTAAGCAAGTGATAAAGGTTTTTTTACAATTTTCTTTTCTGATAATATATTGAAACTAAAGAAAAAAATGATTGCACAAAGATTTAAATTTTGTGTTGGGATGAGAATAAGAGCAAAAAAGTTTTTACTTCAATTCTTACAAAATCAAAACATATCAATAACCACCACGTGATATCGAAGAGGAAGTAAGGAACGAAATTAAACTGTAGCTCTGCTTTATATGAAATCAATGATTGATCTAGAGATTCTCAACCCGAAAGTTCTGAATTCAGTATTAAGTTTTTTTTTATCAAAAAAATGATAAGTTTATAACCTAAAAAATGTGTAAATCTAATTTTTTTAAATCAATTATTTATTTAATTAAAAAACACTGACACACTAATCAAATTACATATTTTCAAAGAATTCAAACCCCAAACTGGCCTTAGGCTCACCTAATTAAAACAATTTGTAAGAGGCATATGAAGCCACGCTACCATGAGCAGCTCAAAACTACATCCAAGCCATAATACAGAATTTCATCCGCTTTTATCCAAGTCCGAGCCTTGTATTTCCAATTTCAAACTCTAAATTCTGACACAGCTTGTGGAATCTTCAGAAAGCAATCAAGAATAGTTTAAAGAAGAGAAAACGCACAATTTTTATATTAATTTATCATATTGCCAATGATTAGGGCTGGACACCCCCTCCCCCCTCCCCATTTTTTTAATGGTTTGTTAACAAGGGCCTTCAGTTGGATCATTCTTTTCTTTGCTGTTTTCTGTTTTTCTGTTTTCCCAAATGTTCCAGCCCTGTTCTTTACCGGCCGTTCTTTGTGTTAATGATCTATAACGGTTTCAGCCGTTCATTAACTGCCTAAGTTAACAATGGTTAATTGTTAACTGTTCTTGATTTTCACAATTGTTGAATATTAACCGTAGTTGATTGTTAATGGTAGTTGATTACTAATGATAGTTGATTGTTAACGATAGTTTATCGTAACAATGTTTAATCTTTTATTATGTTGAGTTTGGGTTTCAAATGTGATTTTGTAAATTCACGACATGGATGAAGTTCTGTGGGGCTCATGGTGACTTGCCACTCCCTCCCTCTTTCTACTCCAGACTTGAATTAATTAACGATAAAACTTATTTCTCTTCTCTAAGTTTAAAGTCATGAAGCTAATTGTTAAGTAGAACTTGAATAACTTTAATATTACGACTTTGCTAAAGTTTAACAAAAAAATGTTTCTTTTTAATTTTTAAACACGAAAGCGAGCTAGTTTAATTACAAGCATTTTAGTTTTAATTTTAAGCTTTTGCTCTTCAATCTACCATTATTCTCCGTTCTCAAAAAACTTATTTTCGAGAATTTTTCTGTTTGAAATGGCACACTTAAAAAAAAATAATAAATCCACAGGTAAACCTTTAGTCTCCGACAAACCGATGTCGAACATATAAAGTGGAGAGTTATCTACTCGACATTGGCGCATGTAGTAGGTTAAAATGTTTCCTGGGACATATGAGTTTCCACAAAATTTTTTAGCCAAATTGTTTTAGCCGATTTGACGTTTATTGGATACAAACAAACTGACAGACAATACTAACGTTTTAAGATGTAATTAAAAATTTAAAAATTCTTTATCAAATTCTAAATGCCACATATGAACGATTTATACTTACTTTTAGCTTTCTTAAATTCACTTTTTCAGAGTTTGGAGACGGAGAATGTTCTGGAAACAGTTTTTTATCAACACACTCAAATTTCAGGTTAAACAAGCGTGCTTGTGCGCATGCGCTATTTGCCGCAAAAATTCTTAACTCTTATTCTTTGCATAGAACGGTATTGCAAAACAAAAAAATAAGTAAAAATCGTACAACAAAAAGCATAATTTCCCAAATGATACCACAAGACAGATGGATATAGAAATTTATTCAGTTCAAGTTTAATAAAAATGTCCGATTTTTTATTAAAATCCGCGAAATAAAAAGGGACCCCCTGCTTTACCGGTATAAAATGTTACTTATTTGCCTCGAAACAAATAAGAAACATTTTGCACCCAAGATCATGAAATTGTGAGTAAAAATGTGGGATAAAAATTCTCTCAAAAGCTTTATCTGATCAAGTAAACATTTAAATCCATGTTTTCAAATGTGGCTTCTCTACAAAAGTGATTTGCGCATTACTTTACGACAGGAGAAAAATAAAAGAATCAAACACTTTTCTAGATAAAAAACGTATTTATCTTTCACATTATTAATCAGATAAAGCTGTTTCAGGAATACCTTTAAATGCACCTACGGTCCCTTTAATATATTCTAAAATATCCTTTATGAAAGAAAAATTATAAAAATGAAAAATAAAATAAAAGACACAACCAAGTAAAATGTTGTAGAGTCAAAGTTTATATAATGATAATTTTTAGTGAAGAAAATACCTTGGAACCTGAGGCTTCAGGGCACTCCGCCAGGGGTTCCGTTGACAGTAGTTCCATCAATAGAGGTTCCCTTGGCGGTGATAAACCGAATGAGGAGGAGAATGGTTTGAAAAAGGATTTTATATTTCATCCAGATTTTGGAACAAATACCTCTTTAAACTCAAGTTTTTGTTTTCTTCTCTCAGATTACAGCAGGTAAAAAATTATGAATTAGGAATTCAAAAATCTTTATTAATTACATACTGCATTGTGCATAGTGCATAGTGCATGTAAACAAAGTTGATAACTACATAAAGTTGTTAAAACAAAGTTAGGATATATGACACCTAGGTTACGTGATATCTAAACCGACAATAATATTTTTATGCATAATACAACTAGCTTGGATATCCAGCTTTCTCTGGAAAAAAAACTTTCTCTATAAAAATCGATCAAAGCAACTTGACTCTCTAACCAAGCTAAAAACAGGCCAGTGGTTCTCCCGAGTTCCCCAATCAAAATCTGAGGCAAATTGGTCAAGGGGTTCCTGTGTTATGTTCGGACATGCAAACAGACAGACAAACAGAGATGACTAATTTATATACATAGATACCTTTATATATTGTATTGTAGGGGGCTAATTACAAAGACATCCCTTTTTTCAAATTTAGCCGATATATGATTGAAAGATGTATGAAAGATGTACAAACAAGAAGAAAATGAAGAAAAAGAATTATAGAAATCTCAAAATATTTTCATCTGATATCATATAGTTATTGTAAAATTTAATTAAAATAAATTATTAAAGTTAAAAACATACTTGTACATACAGGATCTGGACTTGAGCACCTGTATATATACATTCTAGGTGTACTGGAGTACCTGTATATATAATATGTTCTAGGTGTACTGCAGTACCTAGCTGTACCTGGAGGTATACAGGATCTGGACTGGAGTACCTGTTTATACATATTTTAGGTGTACTGGAGTACCTGTATATATAATATGTTCTAGGTGTACTGCAGTACCTAGCTGTACCTGGAGGTATACAGGATCTGGACTGGAGTATCAACTTCTAGTTGGACCTGCATATATTATAATATTCACTATATCAGGAGTTTTCATGGGTATACTAGCAGACAGGTGAAATAGTTTACGTACATCAATATTTTTCTATAAAAATATAAAATATCCTTTTTGTGAAATTTCCTGTTTATGAAATATGCTAGTTTTGAAATGTCCTGTCTATGAAATGTCATGTCTATGAAATATGCTATCTTTAAAATGTCCTGTCTATGAAATGTCCTGGCTATGAAATATGCTAACTTTGAAATGTCCTGTCTGTGAAATGTCCTGGCTATGAAATATGCTAACTTTGAAATGTCCTGTCTATGAAATGTCCTGTCTATGAAATGTCATGTCTATGAAATATGCTATCTTTGAAATGTCCTGTCTATGAAATGGTCATGTCTATGAAATAGGCTATCTTTGAAATGTCCTGTCTATGAAATGTCATGTCTATGAAATATGCTATCTTTGAAATGTCCTGTCTATGAAATATCCTGTATATGAAATGTCATGCCTATGAAATTTCCTATCTTTGAAATGTCCTGTCTATGAAATGGTCATATCTATGAAATATGCTATCTTTGAAATGTCCTGTCTATGAAATGTCCTGGCTATGAAATAGGCTATCTTTGAAATGTCCTGTCTATGAAATGGTCATGTCTATGAAATAGGCTATCTTTGAAATGTCCTGTCTATGAAATGTCCTGTATATGAAATGTCCTGTCTATGAAATGTCCTGTCTATGAATTGTTTTTCTACGAGAGGTCTGAACACCAATTTTGCATATTTTACAACTTAAAAATACTGTAATTTGAAAATTTGAGAATTTTTGATTAAAACACAGGAAAAGGAATTGCAATTAAAGTTTTCTCTGGAAAAGAAATATGTTAATCAAAACAGTCATGAGTTTCTGTCCTTAATTATCGTTAAGTAGTACGATTAGTTCAGATTTGTTTATTTGAAAGTTATCTAAAAACATATAAAAAGTACAAACACCAATTAATAAACTTAAATTAATTCATCTATACTTTTATTAAAAGTATTATAGTGAATTACAATCTATCAGAAAAGAAAAGTATAACTTTCCATGAAGTAAAATATATATTTGGTATTTAAATAATTTATCCTGGATAAATGTCAGTCTATATATAGAGCATAAATGTTATTTTAATATTATTGAAGCATCGAAAATATAAAATGTATCTAGTACGGCGTCAGTGTCACAGAGATCCAGACAGCTGTAAAAATTATTAATCAATGTTCAAGACCGAGTCAATTTTTAACTTTTACTTTTTGTAGCTCTATATAGATCATGTACATTTTTTAACAGAAGTTCAATGTAAAAATTTAACACTGGTTCCTGTCTAATATCAATTGTGGTTTATCTATGATAGGGTGTGACAATTTTGCTGTAAAACTTCTCAATTTTATTTTGCTCATGTTTAACAATTAGTTTTTTTAACCTAACAGTGTTGGCTTTTTTTTTTCAATATAAAATTTGGATTTTTCAAAAAGAAGTTGAGACTTTGCCACAAACTCAAATTTTCTGATTCCTTTATTTTTTTCAATGATTTCAAACTTTGTTTATTTAATGATACAGAATTCACAACTTGAAATATTAAAGGTCTACGACATTGAGTTGTCAGGATGTCAGGATTAGAAAATCTGAGTTTGTTTTGTTTTCTTCTGTACAATTTTAAAACTTAAATTTAGTCAGTCAAAGAAATAAACGTATGTCGACACATACAAAATAAACTTAAATTTCAGGGTGTCAAGGCCTCATCTTCTGTGCGCGTGCGTGATGACCTACTCTACCTGCTGTGCACTCATGGGGGCTGCACACAGTTTTCCTGTTCTTATCATCTTACGTATGGGAACAGCAATTGGGTAAGTGCTCCATTTTCTCGGATAATTAGTTAAATGAAAAGAAACATGTTTTTTTTTTGTGAACCATAGCTGATCATAGGTATAACAGGGGGTTTCGAAAGGCATTTTCCCAATTTTAAACAATCACAAAATACATTTTTCATCGCCCAAATGGAATTTTTTATCAAATGTACATTTCCCCATGAGTCAGTTGCCTACAGCCCATCTTCAGCCTTGTGCAGCTGAAAGAAGGAGTTTAACAAGCCATACACAACGATACCGGTTTTCTAACTCGACCAGCATTGAGGACTGGACTGTTGTGGAAGATTCCTAAAAATTGGACCCCATTTTCATAAGGGGTGCAGTTATGGGTTACCTTAATGCCCCTTAACTCAGAAGGAACACAGGGAGCAATCACCTATATACCCTTCCTGTTACAAACCTTCTTATCTCTCTCCTACCTACTCCACAACTCAATGTCAAAAGAAGTATTTGGAGAGGCCTCAAAGTTTAGAAACAAGAAACAAGAAGCAAGAAGAAAAAAGAAAATTCTTGATTTAAGAGATTGGGGCATGGAAGCTGTCCCTCCCCGCCGGGGAGGGGGGGAGACGATCGCTCTCCCCCCCCCATCCTCGTCCCCAAGAAAATATTAGGAAAGTGTGTTTTTGCTAAGTCAAACGCAACTTAAGAGTAAACAATTCTATATAGAGTTCCGAGAAAGAAAGCAAGACCCTCATGGGTCGTTTAAATTAAAAAATCAAGATCCCCCCCAAAAATTTAATTTTTATTTTCAAAATCAGCTGAATATGATTGAAAGATGTACGAATAAGAAGAAAACAAAGAACAAGAAAAATAGAAATCTGAAAATATTTCCATATGATAACATAAAAATATTTAAAACAAATTTGTCAAAACGGAAGGGGAAATAGTGGTGGCTCATGGCTGCCGGAAGAGAAAAAGCTAATATTTGGCACGGAAGGGGAAATAGTGGTGGCTCATGGCCCCCTGCCTTCCTCCGCTCATTGTGTAGAGCTTTGACATTTCTAACTTCGACCATGTGATTTAACAGAATTCATTGAGTTGAGTTGCAACGTTATAAAAAAATCAGAGTTTGTGGCAAAGACTTAATTCCTTTTTCTTTTTTACACTTTTCTGTCGGCAGATGCATTTAAAATGAAAATGATTTTATTCTTTTGTAATATTAAAAAATGATGATATTTCAGTTATATTTTGGGTACGGTCTATCCTTCCTGCTTGGCATCTATGGGAGCAGCTTAAATCTGTTTGGTTTGGGTTGGAGAGCTGCTTATATACTTGCTGGAGGTTTAGGACTTCCGGTTGCAGCTCTTCTACTACTGGTAGGTCATCAAAGAGATACAGGGCCCTGTAAAATATGGTTATTAAAGGGACTTTCAACCAAATTTTAGGGATCCCTCTATTAAAGAGTCAATTTACAACGGTCCTTTGTCTGAAAAAAATTATGGAATTATCCTTTTTTTCTGTCTGAAAAATTTCAATTTCTCATTCCCTGCAAAAATGACTTAGAGGGTATTGTTATAAATCTTTCATGTCATCCTTTAAATGGAGGGTCTCTTGAAATTGTAATTTCTCTAAAGTGTTGTAACTTGTTAGGTTCATGATACAGTAGAGAAATATGTTTGCAAAGGAGTTGAGTCTTTGCTACAAAACTCAGATTGTCTTATCTCTATGTCTTTGCAACCCAATGTCGTAGACCTTAAATATTTCTAACTGTAGTTTGAAATATCAAAGGTTAACACCATCAGATTGCAAAATTATAGGGATTATGAAGATTGAGTGTGTGGCAAAGACTCAATTTCTTAGTCAGAATTAGTTCCCCGGTTACACTGAACATGTTAATCATACAGTCATTCATTGTTTCTTTAACAATTTATTTTTATAACGTTTTTTCACTAAAGATGAATAAAAAATGTACACAATTATTTGACAGAATTGAAGTATTCCCTTGCCTTGAATATTATCGTACATTAATTTTTGATCCAAAAGCAACACGTTAATAGATGAATGAACCATTTAAACCCAACCAAATAGATATAATAAATGCAGTACAGTCGTCTCTGAAGTCTCATCCTTCATGGTTAACCCTGAATGTGTTTAATGAATTGACTATGGATATTTTTCTATTTTAAGCAAGGAATATCTTATACAAATTTTAAAATTTTAGTGGTGTAATCTCATTTGAGATAATATTAATCAATAAATGTGGTTTATTTTTTTTGGTCGATTTTAAAAAAGACGCTATTTTTTCCGCAGTTCGTATTAAAATGTTTTGTACTTTATGCTCTTTTAAACAAGATGAGAAACAAACTGTAACAACAAAAATGGATTGTTAAACTTTCTTTTGCAAGAGATAATTGAATTGAAACTAGTCAGACCGGATCCGACCAAGAATATTGTACAAAAGGATTTAGTTTTAACTTTTAAACATTTTAAACATTTAGAACGGACATTATTAATTTTTTTTACAAATTTATCAAATTTGATCTATGTTTATATTTCAAATGTTTTCGGTCGTTATAAAAAGCTCGTAGTTTAGTAGTTCAGGGACCAAATTTTGTGAATAGCAAGAAGTAGATCAACTACTTAGAACAAGGTTAAACCACTTAAATTTGAAATGACGGCTCACAAGCGAAGTGGTTCGACTTCACCTAGATATTAAATAAATTTAGTCCGTGTGTTTTTACAATAAGCATAATATATATAAATAAGCTTAAATAAATCCATGTTTTTAAAATCCTNCTATCCCAGGTTAGCTGGAAAAGTCAAGTATTCTATCCCAGGTTAGCTGGAAAAGTCAAGTATTCTATCCCAGGTTAGCTGGAAAAGTCAAGTATTCTATCCCAGGTTAGCTGGAAAAGTCAAGTATTCTATCCCAGTTTAGCTGGAAAAGTCAAGTATTGTCAACTTAATTCAAATAATTTGCATTTAAAGAGAGCATAAACGATTTACAATAAAATATCCATTATCATTGAATTTTTTTTATGAAAGACCCAAAAGAACAGAGCATTTTCAAAAAAATATACTTTTCTATATCCATATTCAATGCTGATGTCTTTGATATTTTAAAGTTTGACTTTTTGGACTAAAATAATTCTTGGTCTATAAAAGTTAGTCTTGAAACTTTTAGGCATCAGTGACTTTAAAAAGTCGCAATGGCTTGGGCTTTGGTTTTACCTTACAACGTTACTTACTTTTTGTTGCCCTAGACATATACAATATAAATTACATTTATGCAATAGGATGGTTTAAAACGAGTTTTTGGCAAAATACTGCTCGCTTTGTGCACATATTGGTTCGTAGTGAAAATCAACATCATTGACCGATTTTAAAGAAATAAATTAAAAGTAATTAAGTCATTATAACAAGCTAAAATTTTCTAATTATCTTTGCAAACTATTGATCTAAACCTTAGATATTTCAAAGTTTGAAATATCTAAGGTGGACGGCATTGGGTTTGAAAATTAGTCTTTGTCGCTGAAACTCAATTCCTTTGTTCAGTTCCTTTAAAAAATCCAGACCGAAATGTATTGTAGAAATAAATCTAGATCTGACATTTGTCTTGTTTGGCATATTTTGGATTTTTCATTTTACTATCTATTTTTGACATTTCTACTTTTTCTAAAAATTATTTATTTAATTTCTATTTCAGAATGCATTCGTATTCCCCCATTTTGGTTTTTGATTAAAAAACTAGATCACAAATCAGGTCTGCATGCAAAAAAACAGCGAGAAATCTCTAGTAATAAAGTCAGAAGGCTTCTTTGGCCTTTAAGAGGGGGAAAATGCGGGAAAGGGGGGGGGAAAGGTATAAGGAGAGGGGGAAATGCATTATAAAATCCAGAATTGAGTTTCCCGACCTAATATTAATGACTTTAGACACCCCACATGGACCTATCACAAAAAATTAGGGGGAAAATTATTTTTTCTCCACTTTGGTGTTTGATTCAAAAAACTAGATCACAATTCAGGCCTGCATGCAAAAAATCAGAGAGAAATCTCTAAAAACGAAGTCAGAACCCCCCCTCCCCCACCGTTTGTATGGAAATGTGGACATTCCCCTTTAACCTATTTCTATAAAAACTGGGACGTTGTTTTACAAAATAAGTGACAATTATTGTAATTTCTTGAAATTATTATTAAATATAATTCAATATTGTTGCAAAAGTAATTATCTATTCTAGATTAGTGCTTCTGCTATGCCAATGTATTTTCAAAACGTTCTTAAGATATTTGAAAACCTTGAACTCTAATCATAATTCTCCTAAAAATGTCAAGGAAAAGGAAAAATAATAATTGATTCACAATGGTATTCTCAAAATCTTGTTTTTCCTTTAAAAATTGATTATTTTCATTTGTGGTTTTTCTGTTAAATTGATTTCCGGAATTATGCAGCGGAGAGAAGGAATAAAATTGACAAAATTATTCATGTGTAAAGAGTAAAGACCAATAAGTATGGAATATAAAGGAGATATAAACGACGCGGATGATGCTTTGCAGACGGTGCTTCATTTGAATAAGAAATATTTGTTTGATGTACAAATACCGCGTATGTGTATTCAGATTAGGTTATTTTATATATTACACAGGGAAAACATTAGGCTGAATAATGCAAACAAATACATTTTTTATGATGCAAAAATATTAGCAATACAAGCGTATTTTTTATAATATAAAGATTTAGTTTTAATTAACATGGTATAGTAAAAAACCCACATTTAAAAACTTAAAAGAGGACCTTAAAACTTTTTTTTAAATGGGGCACCCTGTCTGGTAGGGCGGGCCGCATCAATTCTATCTCCTTTATATTCCATACTTCTTGGTAAAGACAGAAAAACGGTAATATCTTCCTCATTGTTGCTCAGGTAAAGATGTAAAGACAGCCGTTGTGAATCGGTTCTGCAACTTTTTAATTAGGCGGTCCCTTGAAATTAACAATTCATTAATAAAGCTTTATATAATTTTATCAGGTACAAACCCTGGCAAAGATGGAACTGTTTCTGACGTTTCTTCAGAATATCGACGGATCTCTTTTTCTTCTTTAGAAGATTCTAAAGCATCAAGTCTTCCAATTTCCACAGTGAGTCCTTTTAAACGTGTAATCTAGAAAACAATCATGACATTGTCTTTATGTTTGGATTACACAAGTTACAATTAAAAATATCACAAAATCAGTGAAATGGAGCAAACAAAACTAAATTCTTGGTACAAACTCTGATTTCCTAATCCCTATATCTTTGCAACCTGATACATATTACTTTGTATTCTGAAAGAATGGCTTATAGGAGCAAAACTCTCAGGGTTTCAATTTTAAACTAACGTGTTAGTTTTTCATTTTTTCAACTTAGTTTTATTAATTTTCAAATTTTACATTTAAAAATATTTTTTTCACTTTCCTTTAATTTCCATTTCCTCTATGAACATTGATTTGATTTTAAAAATTCTGTGTACACAAAATTGTATATTGATCCTGTTTTCACTGTTCAGGGTTCAAGAAGGTTGTCAGCTTCAACAAGACGGAAAAGTTCTCTATGTTCGCTGCAGGGTGTTGAAACAAAAATGAGAAAACTTTCAACAAACAGTTTACAGGGAGGAGCAGGAATATCATCATGTTTTGCTTTTATTTTCTATAAGAAAATTTGTTTTTTCCAATAGACTATAAAAAAGACCTCCACATGCATATTTCCAGAAAAGCATTAAAACAAAGGTTTATTCCTTGCAACAAACACTTTTTTTCTAATCCCTATACTTTGCAGCCAAATGTCGTAGACCTTAGATATTTCAAACTATGAATTCTGTTAGATATTTCAAATCTAGATTATTAAGTTGCAAGGAAAAAGGGATTAGAAAATATATGTCTGTGGCAAACACTCAATTCATTTTTGGCAATTTATTATAAATATTTAGTTGACCCTCCTCCCCCTGCCCCTTCTTCTGAGAAAAGAGAAACTTCTTGGGACTATATCTGTTTATCATTCTTAAACAAAAATACTTGAATATTATAATTCCAAATTTGTTCCATCGAGTCTTGAACAATACATTTTAAACTCTGGTTTAAATATCTCCTCCCTCTATTCAGGTTAACCCTCGGAAGATTTCCTTCTGTCTCCTGGAGTACCCGGAGAATAGAACAGCCCTGGAGGACCGGAGTAAAGGGTTGAAAGGAGAGGGTAGAGAAGAGACAAATTCCAAATTAAACCCAGAACATATTTCCTATTTCAGGAAACATTTAAAATCTCTATTTTACTAAAGTAAACATAGTCGAAATGGAGCCCAGACAATACATCAAGTACAAACTCTATATCTTTACCTAGCAATGTGCAATGAGTTGTTTCGTTTTCGGGTTTGTTTTTGGGTTTTTTTAATATGAGAAGTTTTACAAATTTATAAATTATTTATTCTAGACATTTGTTTTTGTTACAATATGCAAAATTTTGAGCCTGTAAGAAAATATTGCAAAAACCGAAAACGAACTAAAATCGAAATTTTACCTGTACCTGTACCTGTACCTGTACCTGTACCTGTACCTGTACCTGCTTCCTCTATAGTATATTTAGTCTTTATGAATGCTATTAGCAGTCTGAACCTGAACCTGGATATTCCCACATTTCCAATCCATGGATTTAAGATCAGGGTTTAAAGGATTTCTTTTAAACACATTTCGATTCTAAACTCCCCAGTTTAGACCAGTGTGCATTATAACATGTTCATTCTCACTGTGCAGTTTTGTGGTGTGCATTTTCTGATATTTAGGTTCACTGTGCAATGTCATTTTCTAATTTGATTTGATTGATTTGAAAGAAGATTATTTCCAGAAATTTGTAAACTCTTTCTTACTTCATGATAATTGGTTTTTCTCCTTTGTAAACACGGAATATATAGACAATATTATATGGTTAAAGGGACTGTAAACACGGAATATATAGACAATATTATATGGTTAAAGGGACTGTAAACACGGAATATATAGACAATATTATATGGTTAAAGGGATAGTAAACTTAATTACAAGTAAATCGGACATGATACATTTTTAGGGAAACAATTTCATTTTCTGCATGATTGGTGGATTATATGAATTATTTGAAATTGAATAGAGCTTTTTTCTATATTATAAGGATTTAAAACTGTTTGTATGTTTTTTAAATTATTTTGATTTAAAAATGTTTCTCAGATCAATTGTCCGTTGTCTCTCTGAACCTGTTCTTCTTCTTCTCTTCCTTACTGCTAGTCTTAGGCATACAGGTAGTACAGGGAGCACCACTATAATGTAAATTTAAGGACTACTTGAAGATCGTCTTTGATATTTGATTAGCTTCCTCATGGAACAGAATCATGGATAAATCAGTATCAAAAAGATTTTGCACGACTAAATATCTTCCCATAATATACCTGATGTACGTCCCTTTACACCCTCTGTCCATTTTACTTCCTTACCCTTTTTATTCCCACCCCCCTTTTCCCCTTCTCACCTGGGGACGTGCCCGATTCTGGACCGCTTAGGCATGTGTGGATCTGGTAAGACACTAAAATGGTGTCTTGTGTCTTGTTTATGCAAACTGTATAAGGATTGGAAGCGTTGAGTGTCTCATTGTCTCATTCTTTGAATACAAGCGTATGCTGATGTATAATACCAGTGTATTCATGAGCATAATTTTATTTAAACTATGAAATGAGGCGTCTCAAAGTCTCAATGTCTCATTTTTGCACACATTTTTGATCCAGGAACATAGGTGGCTCATTGTCTCAATGTCTCATTTCTATTATACCAGTGTAAGCGTGAGCATAATTTTATTTGAACCATGAAAACGTGCGTCTCAATGTCTCATTTCTGTAAAACAAGCGAATGCATATTCACATGTTTTGATCTGCAGGAATAGAAGTGTCTTATGTGTCTCAATGTCTCATTTCTATTATACCAGTGTAAGCGTAAGCATAATTTTATTTGAACCATGAAAACAGGTGTCTCAGTGTCTCATTTCGGCACACATTTCTTGACAAGAAATATGTGCATATTCATACTCTTGTCTTACAGAAATGAGACATTGAGACACTTAGACACCTCTGTTCCTGGATCAAAGAGACATTGAGACGCTTGTTTTCTGGTTCAAATAAAATTATGCCTACTCATGTCTTGTCAGATAGATCATTAATGGTGTTTACGCTTACACTAGTATTATGGGGCTAGCTTATAATAAGCATTTGCATATACAATATATATAGAGGTTTACTTAGCGCTTGCTTATACAGTATGCAAAAACAAGACACAATACACCATTTTAGTGTCTTGCCAGGTGAACAAATGCCCAAGCGGGCCAGAATCTGGCATGTAATGTCTTCCCTTGTTCCCCTTCTCCTTCTCCCGAACCCCTTTTCTGAACCCAACCACGTGCGGCCGTAGTACATTTAAATTGCTTAGCCGGGTCAACCTTTCCGGTCCCAGTTTTTACTGTATCGACCTGACATTGGGTAATAAAGCAGACCTTCAATAGGACTAGCCGCGCGGTGCAACAAGGTTGACGCGGTCAGACTTTAAGTTGAATTTACTTTTAGTAAAGGGTTAGAGGTGCGTGCCACCTCTCTTCTTTCTTTCCCCCTTCCCCCCCTTCTCCTTCCTCTTTCTCCCCTTCTTCTTTTAATCCCCTCTTCCTTTATATCCCCCCCCAGCCCCACCGGACACCCATATCTTCACGCTCAACAGATCAAATGAAATATTTCGCAAGCTCTGGCATATTTTGAAATCATAAAGAAATAGGAAATTGTTAGATTCAATCTTTTTATTTCACTGCATACGGAAAACCCTTTTTTCCATTTCTCGGTTCAACGTTATTAAAGACGTTCCAGAAATGTTTTTTTTTAATCGAATTTTTATTATTATCATTATTTTTTTATGATTATTATTATTATTTCTTTATTTCTATTATTATTATTATCATTATTATTATTGTTATTATTATTATCATTGTTATTATTATCTTTATTATTATTGTTATTATTATTATCTTTGTTATTTTTATTTTTATAATATTCTAGCTGGGTATGCTTGGGCTCATAATAATGTCAACTATTTCAACCAATACCACAAGGTAATTCAATTTCCGCCCACGCCTAATTAACGTAAATTTCATTTAAGATTTCGTTTCTAATATGTTTTCTATCATAACTCCATTTTTAAATAGCTTTCGAGAAGAACAAATATTTCGAACATGTAACGGGGTAATTTTTTTATCTTGCTTTTTTGTAAATTTATTGCTATTTAATATTCGTGAATTCATTAATGACATATTGAAGAAATTTGATTTCCGAATTTTATTTTTAATGATTTAAATTTAAGTTTTAATCAGAGAAATAGTTTTGAAATCAAAATCTTGAAATCAATATTATAGTTACAATTCAATTCGAATTTACGAATTAAAGTTTACTAGAAGATAGAGATTTTAAACGAAGAGCCGGAAAAATCATGAAACCTAAAACAAATCGTAAAGACATTTTTCCTTTAGTAGTATTGTTCGGGACGCCTTGTTCGTTAATTTTATCTCACTTCATCGGCAAAATTCTTATAGAATTTTTTTAGAGTTACAACCTCTTGATCACTGTAGAAAATAGTTAAATCTAACAATTTTGGATTAATATTTTTATAAAAATATCTTTTTAAATTGTAAAAAATGTTTCTTTTATGTTCCCATTGTATGTAAAATGGATCTAGGGTATGGATATTGGATACTGGTTTATGCTGTGTTCCATCCTGGGAGGTAGCTCTGGAGTCCTGGTGGGAGGGTTCATATCAGATGCCGTCGTACAAAAATTAGGAACAGATATTATAATTGTCTCTTCATAACCCCTCTCCTCCCTCTTTTCAATTTTAACAATTGTTTTCAGCATTTTATATAAATAACCCGGTCAATGCGGTTGAATTTTGCATTATTTTATGAAATGCATATTTGAATTTAATTAATTTATTATTGAAAATATTATTAAAAATGCATATTTTAACAAAATAATAAAAAAGTGCCTGCACGGTAAGTTCAATAATAAAAAAGAGATTGTGATTTAAGCTGTTTTTTTTCTGAACGGCACTTTTTAATGCAGTTTTAAAGTGAAACGAACAAGCCAAAAGATGGTTAATTGGTACAATTGTAATTGCATAATGTATTAAAAAAAACCTTAATATCAGATCTGTATGAAACCAACATCGAAACATAACCAGCAACATTTAATACAAATTCAACTTCTAATTTCTAGTAAAAGCTAAGCTTTTCTTTTTTGAAGGTCACTCTGATTTATATCGATAAGAGCCGTTATTTAGATTGGTATGTCCGATTCACTATGGTGTCAATTAAAACTAAGTATGAGCAAAAATGGTGGAGTTATCCGCCTTTTTCAATGTCAACATTGATTATTTTCAATTTATACACCTGGAGAGAAAGAGGAAAATTATCAGAATTCAACAATTTTCCTGAAAGAAAATCAATTCATCGTTTTTTTGATAAAGGTTTAAAAAGTACTATTGTGATCGAACATACCTCTCTATAAATTGGCGGATCTTTTAACATTGTGAATTTTAGATAATATAATTAAGTTTAGATAATATTTGTTTAGATAATATCTGGTTAGATAATATCTGTTTAGATAATATCTGTTTAGATAATATCTGTTTATAAAATATCTGTTTATAATATATCTGTTTAGATAATATCTGTTTATAATATATCTGTTTAGATAATATCTGTTTATAAAATATCTGTTTATGATATATCTGTTTAGACAATATATGTTTAAATAATATCTGTTTTTATAATATCGGTTTATAATATATCTGTTTAAATATCATATCTGTTTGGATAATATCGGTTTAAATAATATCTGTTTATAAAATATCTGTTTATAATATATCTGTTTATAATATATCTGTTCATAATATATCTGTTTGAATGATATCTGTCTAGATAATATCTGTTTATAATATATCTGTTTATAATATATCTGTTTATAATATATCTGTTTAAATGATATCTGTTTAGATAATATCTGTTCCGTTTTCTGTTCTGAGTTTGTACCTAAATCCTCCTCATGCATTTATTTGTCTTCTTCTCTATTACTTCTTTGGTAACTATTTTTATATTGATTTATTTTAGTTTTTTTTCTTTTTTTATATAATTAATATTTTTGACATAAAAAACAAGCATAGAAAACAAAGGTTTCAAAACGTGTATAGCGCCCAATCTTAACTCATTAAGCCTGAGATCATCGTGATACGTGTCATATTAACCAGAACTAAATCAGCTTTAGTTAAGCGTGGGACGAAGTTTGACCAAGTTTGAGTTTGATAAGAGTTTGTATAATTCCCTTGATGAGGAAGAAGAGACGACTAATGATGATGTATTGAAAATTCTCTCAAGTTTCAGATCCAGAGTTCAGAACATTTTTCACGAAATCATCTTTTTCTTTCACCCTTTTTCTTCCATTGGGTTACAGATTTGGTCTCGGGGGCCTTTGGAATGTGTCTTAGGAATTAAATATATGAATTTGTGTTTATTTTTTCTCAAAGAAATTTGTTTAAACGACCTGTTTTTGTAATTTCAAGTGACCATAACATTAAATCCCCGATTAACAACGGTAACCTTTAAATCTGATCAATAATGTGAGAGAAATCTTCGGTTTTTAGTGTTAAATTTTTACAATTTTTGTAGCAGAATTCCGCAAGATAGAGAATAACAATTTTTAAAGTTATAAGTTTATTAGGGTATAGCTCATTTATCTTTAATCATACAAAGCTTTAATAGGTACCCTAGGGAATTGGACATCCCACTTAATAATTTGAGGGTCACTATACAGTTTCTTTTAAACGTGTGTTTTTAGGTAAATAAATTGAATACTGTTTAAAAAGATTTCCTCAAAATATTTGTATTCGATTTCATCGTTATATATTGGAGAAAATTTCTTTTATTAAATTTCATCGGGCCAAGCAAAAATGTTTGAAGTCGAATTTATTAGTTTTAAAATCATTGAACCATCTTAATATTTCCTTTAACATAAGATAGAAGTGCCCAAATTCGGTCAAAATTTTCTATGCATTAGTCCCCTAAAAAATGTAAAAATGCATACTTTCCTGTGAAATCTTCGCAAATTTTTACTAAATTTCAAAATTGTGCCCAAACCAAGAATTTCATGATTTCATCGAAGCATCGTAAAAAATAGGAAAAAATAGGAAAAAATTGGATCAATTGATATTATCAAAACTTTGTCCAAACAAGCACAGACTTTAATTTAGTGTAAGACATAAGACCAACGATTTTACTCTAATTTTGGAAATGTATCAATTAGAAATAAAAAATAAAAGAAGCATATTTTTGGCCGCAAATTTAAATGTTCTAATCCCTATATCTTTGCAAACTGATGTTGTACCCTTTGATATTTCATGAATTCTTTAATATCAAATAATCCAGGTCTGAAATATCAAAGTTTACGCTCACCATTAAGTTGAGGAAGATGTGGGGATAAGAAAATTTGAGTATGTGGCAATGGGTGAAGATAAGTTTTTGACAGGTTTTAAAAATTTTGTAAATTTTGAAAAATTATAATATGAGGAAAATACCGCTACAATGTTTACGATTTCTACAAGAAAAGCCTCAACCCCTCAGCTGGTAAATTCAGTTTTATAAATTACAGAGTATAAAGTAAAGTGAAAACTTTTACGAAATTAGAACATATTTACAGGGTTACCCACAAAGGAATGAGACTTTACCGATAACCTAAACTCAATAAGTATGACAGTAATAAGGGAATATTTATTAAACTGCATTAAAAATAGTTTCTAAATGTTAAAGTTCAGGAGATATTTAAAGCTGCGCGGCCGAGCTAGGAAAATAAGAAATAAAATAAATTAATTCCATACAGTCGTCTCTGCAGCCTTATCTATATATATTCAATCATCACATATATAATACCTATATGGAGGGATAAGTTTTTGATTATAGAGCAAATGGCATTTTATTTATGCTTATCTTTTTTACGCACATGTATAAGAAAAAAAGAAAAAGTATTTTATTTTGCAATCGGAATATTCTTTCAATTTTTTAAATCCTTGGGAGAAGACTTTTAAATTTGTTTTGTCACAAAAACAAAACAAAAAAGATTATCAATTTTTATAGCTTCTTTCTTTCGCACTGCCTAGCTTACTACCCTACTGCCCTACCATCTTGTTATTTTACTATCTTATTGTTTTTCAAATTTTCTATATTTTTACGAAACCTGAAATTAAGATAAGATTATTAATTAACTTTTTGAAATAAGCTCGGTTTCGATTCCCAGGCTCTCTATGTCTTAAGTTTCCGACGCTGAGTGTCTACTGTCTAGTGTTAGATGCATTAATCTTTCAATATATCATCCCAATATTCATATTTTCCATTTAGATATAAACCTCTCTATTTATTTTTTTATATCTTTATTTGATCACAATTTTCAAATCGTATATTTCGGTGCATTTATCATATTTTTGAGGAACATTTATTGCTTCTAGATATAAATACATAATGATTAACAAGTGTATCAAAGGAGAGGTCTTCTCGGGTTCCAGAATCTGACGCAACTGATTTGTGGTTTTATAATTTTCTACAATATATACATTTCTTTCTTTGTTTATTTGTTTCTTTGTTTAGTTGTTTAATTTTTTATTTAACTAATTTTTTTAAATTAATTTTTTTTATTTGTTAATTTGTTTATTTATTTAGCTGAGACCTGGTTCAGTTTGCTGTTTACAGTTCTGGTAGAACTAGTTCCTGTTCACATTAGATCTGTTTCCATCGGTATATTCCTGTTTATGATGAACTGTGTTGGGGGTAATCTTCCGATGCTTGTTGATCCTATATCCTCGTACATAGGTCTGCAGTACACCCTGTACATAGCCTGGCCTGCTGTACTTGCTACCAGTAAGTAAAATTATCAAAAACAATCCCCCACCTTCCCAGTATAGAATGAAACTAGCCAAAAATTCGTATTTCCTGATCGTAATACGTTAATACATCAACCTTTAGATTCTGCTATAGTCATAATCAGAAATTAATTAATTGACAGTTAACTAGGTTGAATTTACATATATATATCACGGTGGACTAAGCCAGTGGGGTCGGTCAAATAGGCCTAGGATTAGGCCGGGTACTGTAAAAAGTCTGAACGCGCCATGGGAGTTGTCATAGTTAGCCCTCCGACGGGACTATTCCAAGAAAATTGACCCCTGTCCTATGTTAGTCTGGTTAGGGCGACGTACTGTACCATATAGGATCGGGTCAGTACACGCTGTTATCTGGCAGGCGGGTACAAACTGGGCAGGTCCTCTTCGAATTCAAAACTACGGCCCAGAGTGATTGATATCTCTGGCAATTTTAAATGCTAAAACAGGCAGACCACATTTTTGGAATGGCAGGACTAGGGCTATTTTGTTATTATCGTTTTATTAATAATAATTGTAAAATTTGATTGTAAAGCCGTCTGATTAATTGTATACATTAATTCCAGGTCCATCTGATTAGAACTGTTTATTAAATAAAGTTTTAGATATGAAAGGGTTGGAAAGAAGGATATGAAAATAGATTTAAATGCTATCGACTAATCAGTTCTTTCGAAGAAAAAAGAGTTTGAAGATTGCTTCAGCGGGTTTGAATATTGGGATGAAATATTAATAAAAATATGGAATACCCTGGAGGAAATCTAGAGGAAAACAAACAATATCAATTCTATCGGAATTCAGATAGTTACAGAGCTTTACCACATAAATATTTTGTATTTCTAATATTTTATTAGATATGGAGGGTAACCCAAAAAAGAATGATTTAATTCTGACGTTATGCATTTTTTTGGGAAAGAAAAAAAGTTTAAAGCTGTAGGAAATCATGACTGTGTTAAGAAGGACAAAATAAAATTCCTTTGTTGTCTTTAACGTCTCATCCTTCGAGGGTAACCCTGTATTCCTCATCATCCAGGGCTACTTATTTTTTTGTTTCCTTCACTAAATCTTATTGGGAATAAATGAGATATCAATTTGTAAAATCTAGCTTGGGTATCCGACTTCATCAGGAAAATGAAAAACGATGAGTCTCAATCGATCAATTAATCAAAAATTCATGCAAAAACCGGCCGTGAAGGGTTTTTAACAGGTTTGATTTCAACCCTCTCTCCATTCTTTGGCACGTACGATTCCTAATGTTTTCTTAGAAAACCTCTATTCCCATAACAATTAAAATGAAAACATAACCAAGCAATGATGGCTTTGTCCGCTTCATAATTTTTATAATTTTGAAAAAAGACTATTTTTAATTTTTTCTACAAAATTCTTTTGCACATTTCCACTCCAGTAAAACGTCTAGGAATTATCAGATTTAAATACTTTTAAACATGAAAAATCGACAATATCTTCCACATTATTGGTCAGATAAAGGTTTCAAAGGTACCGTTGTGAATCGAGTATTGCCATCTTTGCAGGGAGGGTAACTTGATATTATGCATACAGTCCCTTTAAACTTAAGATTCCACAATATTACAAAAGGAGAAAAGAACATGTCCTAGCAGGACATATTTCTTTCCCAAGATATATGGACTAATAATTGTAGAAGACATTTATATATAATTGATGGATCGATTATAACTTTCAATAGGAGAACAAATTATGAAATTATTCAAGATGACAATAATCTTGAGTGAACAATGGTAGGACCTTTATGAATAATAATGTAATTTTCGAGAACAAACGGTTTTTTTTTCATTTCCTTCTTTTCCTGTAATCTAATTCTAAAATCTAATTTTGTTATTCCTATATATTTAAATAAAGATGTGTAATAATTACATATTTGATATTTCAAACTTTGACATTCGTAGTTTGAAATATTAAGGATTTAGAAAATACTTCGTAGAATTGTATTTCAGACTCTATCCGCAAATTGGGGTTTCCATATTTTGCCTTTTTTTTACTTTTCTAGGTTATACTAGGGTTTAAATTGATCCGTTTAAAAATGTAAGAGCATTGAGCATATAGCATTTTATAATGTTAACCGAACCAACAAATTTAAAAAAGGGTGTGACGTTTATGGAGCCTTAATCGATAAAAATGGTATGCTAGCGCAAACCAACGGTTTCTGTAAAAGTGTTTTAAATTTCTACTTTTAAACTTTAGATCAACATTTTTAGCTAAAAGTCGAACTCCTTATTAAATAATATATGAATTGAAAATCGCGTAATACAAAAAATTTTATATTTTTTTCTTTTAACATTTTTACAGTGCGTTCATAATTTTTCAACAAATAATTTTTATATTGTCCAAGGGTAAATTAAAATATTGCAATTTTATTGCATACAGCACACATGCACAGAATGTTTTGATTGTAAAACCTTTTTCCAATCTAAACATTTTATGCATTTATGTGAAAATTGATAAAACTGCGAAGAAATAAATTTAAAAACCAAAAATGCATTTTTTCATCATTCATAATATAACCGTTAAAAGGTATAATACGTGTTTTCACTGTAAAAACGTACAAGTTTATTTCAAATAATGGATATTTTTTATAATAAGAATTCACTTTCCCGCAGGAATAAAGTTATCTATTTCCTTTTTAACGCTTTCTGTTGCTTTGTTCTATTTATATGTTTGTATTTCTATTTCTTTTTCATTCATTTCGTTTATTTGATTTATTCGCTAATTCGATAAAATGTTGTAAAAACACCAAATTGCAGGTTATCTAGGTTTCTCCCCTGTAAGTGCAAAATTTATCTATCTATCTATTAATCTATCTATCTATCTATCTATTTATCTATCTATCTATCTATCTGTCTATCTATATATATATATCTATCTATCTAATTAAACAACTATTGTGTTTTTTTCACTGTCTTTTCTGAAAAAAATACTTGTTTTCTCATAAATTTCAAAATAGACTTTGGAGCACTCCAAAAAAAAACAAAAAAAAAACTGTAAATTCTGTTTAATAAAATAATCTAAATTTGAAATATAAAAAATTTACACCACCAGATTGGAAAATTTGAGTTTGTGGTAAAAGCTCAGTTCCTTTGTCAGAAATATAATATCAGAGGGTTTTCTTTTTTTGGTCGGTTTAATTTGTGCCTCAATCTTTAACGTAAAAACATTTTTTGGTCTGACTTCATTATCAACTCCCTTTCTCAAGGGTTGAAAGGAATTGTATATTTCAAGATATTTATTTCTTTTATCATGGTTTAAAACTATGAATTGGACAAGACAACTATAATACAACTTCCTATAAGCAAGAATAAGATCTATTTAAACCTTTAACTTAAACTTTATGTGTTCGTCATTCTTAGTACACAGAAAAACTTTATTTACCTATTATTTTTCCTATAATTTTCCTATTATTTTTCCTATTATTTTCCTAATATTTTCCTATTTTTTTTCTTATTATTTTCCTATTATTTTCAATTATCATAATTTGATTAAGAATAGATTGAATCAAAGACAGAATTAATTAACCGTCTTCTAAATGGTTTAAATATGGAATAGCGAAAACAATTTAATCCCAAGATTAATCCCGTTTGCCATCAATTTTTGGTCTACAAATAACAGTGATTCAAAACTTGTTTAAGCTATCACACAGTAAATGAGAAAAATTTTGTCAAACACTTTATGAAAACTTAATCTTTATAGTTCTAAAATAACCATGTCTTGAGGTACAGAATACAGACTACAGTTTAACCGAGAACTTCGAAGACATCAAAAGAATTTATAAAATATAATTTAATAAACCTACTGATAATGGAATGTTGCAAAGATTTAGTTTTGTAAGGATGTTTGTATTACAATTTCTTAAAGGAATTGAGTTTTTGCCACAAACTCAAAGTTTCTATTCCCTTTATCTTTGTATGCCAATGTTGTAGACCTTCGAAATTGTGGGAAAAGTAATATTTTGATGTCCTATTCATTTATTATTTAGTAACACGCTTTTTCTTAGCTTAGTTTTAGGAGACATTTTTACAAAGCTAGCCTCTTTCCAACTACAAGTCAATATTGAGTCAGCTCTCGATGCAAAAGGGGGTTTAACTTGATTCAGCACAAAATTGAGTCTTTGAGCCACAAACTCTGATCTTCTTATCTTAATGTCTTTGAAGAACAATGACAGACCTTCTAAATTTAAAACTATGAATTCTGTTAGGTCAAGTAGTCTAGCTTTGCAATATCATCCATCAACGATCAGGTTGCAGAGATATAGTGATTTAAAATATGATCTTGTGGCATTATCTTCTATTTAATAAAAGAAACTTTTCTAATCACTTTCTTTATTCAAGGTGGTGTTCTGTTCTTCCTATCCAGTATACCTCTATTCAAGAAAAGATCCTAGCTCCAGAATCCTAAGGAATAAACTTTTGATTGGTTATTTTATTAACTACAGCGACTTAACTCGATATCCACAGTATTGACTTTTAATTAAAGGATTTAAAGGGACTATAGACGTTATTCCAAGTGATCTTCATTTAATAGTCAAATTCACAACGGTTGCGCATGAGATTAGTGCAAAAACATGATAGTGAGATCATTAGAATTAAATCGATTTCATATATTTCATATATTGATTCAACTACACAGCATGAGAGATTTAAGCTAGCAATCTGACCATATCTATTAACTTATTGATCATATAAAGATTTTCAAGGTGCCTGTTTAAATCGGCCATGCTCTTTTTTTATATGGAGAATCACAGTCAATACAGCTCGTGAAAGTTTAATATCGTAGATCTGAGCCCACGGAATCTTTAGAGCAGCCTTCATATATCACAATTTGTATTTTATATAACAGTTAGAAATCTGAAATCTCCCAATTTTCTGATGTTGATTAAATAATACATAGATTAAATTACGTTTCTTTAAGAAATGAACTTTAGTCTGAGATTCGAGCTGAAATGAAGAATTTAATTCCCAATAATCCTTTTTAAAAATTTCCCAGCTCGACATGAAAAATCCTGAACGTGTAAAATAAGATTTAAATTGACTTGAGCCTAAAATCATTTGATATAAACGAAACTTTTTCAACCTATGTTCCTTTCTTTTACGCGAGCACTCCCTTTAAGTAATGAAATAATTCAAATTGTCGCGCAGGGGAATCCTTTTTGTTAAAATAAAACATTTACTTACTTTTCCCCTGGCTCCCTAGTCGTAAATTCTTTATACAGGGTTGTACTTTTTGAACTATAGTTATATTTAGTAATTTCATTAAATTTAAAAGATTTAAATCAACCATGATCATGCATTCGATGGAAAGGAAAGATAGTTTATTTAAAGAGTCAAAATGCGACCAAAGATATATAACTTAAAGCTGAATATTATTATTTAACAATGTATGATACAGTGAGAATCAGAAAAGTTTATAAAACTTTTCAAGTTCAGATTGAAATAGTCCAAAAAACGATAAACATGAGATACAGCACATGTGTAGTGCACACAGATCCATTTCACTTAATAAGGGATATACAAAATATTAGTAAAACTATTCACTTTAAATATGTATAAAGATTGCTTCTCTCTTTCCACAGTTTTCTGGTTCACACAATTATATAATAAACAAATTATTTAGTATACATAGATACGAAGATACAATCATTGTAATATTTATCTAATATACGTAGTCCATAAAACCTGGCATTTAAAATTCATTTTGAACGATTCTCATTATTTTTCGGAATTTGACCAAGGAAAAGGAGTTTACAGGAGAGAAAGGAAGTGGAAGAGGCAGAGGGGGGGGGGGGTATGAAAAATTAAGAGAAGAACAACAGAGATAGTAAGAAAAGATACATACAAGGAAACAATAGAGATATTAAGAAAAGAAAAGAGGAAGAGAAGAACAAGAAAGAAAATAAGAAAAGAAACAAACAAGAGAAAAAGAGAGATAGCCGTGAACAAAGAAATGGACAAGCGCATGAGAGGGACAAGGGGAAAAAGAAAAGGACAAAATAACAAATGAGAAATTGGGAAAAGAAAGTGGACATGAAAACAAGGGGAAAGTGGGAACAGAGGGGAAAATAGTTTTCAAACAATTGTAAAAAATTACAAAAGTATAATAGGAAAATGATGAAAGTCGATATAATGGAAACTTTTTGTTTTCAATTATTTTATACCCGATGCTTCTTGGATACTTTTCTTGTTGGAGTTTAATATTGGGTTTTTATATTTTATGGTGAAAACTGGTGAGTTTAAGAAGACGGATTTCAAAGGCTTGCATAATTTACCAATATATCAGTATCCTGTTACATAGAGATGGGTATAGTTTTAGTGAAAGAACAAAATTTTCGAAAACGAACGAAATTTTTCCTGAACGGTGGTGGCGTTCAGAAAGAAAAAAAAACAATGGAAGAATGACTTAAATCGTTAAAAGAAATGAAAATTTGATTTAAAATTGTTCTAACGAACTTTAAAAAACTATAGGTTTTTACTGAACGAACGTTATATATGTTTTTTAACTATTGAAAAAAATTGTTCACGAACGTAAAAAAACGAAAAAAAAAAACGATCTCTGATCCTTTATATACACGGTATAACATTAAACATGGTATCAGTATCTTGAAAAAAACAGGTTTTTTGATACGTTCTCAAAGATACGTAGAAAAGAAAGGAACGTTTTTTCTTTATTTTTGCCATTTTTTCTTTTTAATGCAAATTTGGTTTTTATTTGACGAAATTTTCCGAAAATAAGTTATTTATTTTTAAACTGGAAACAAGCATTTCTGTCAGGCAACAATTACTGCAGCTAGATTTAAACAAATATCAAATATGAGAAACCAAATATTTGATTTAATTTTTGTTCTCTACATTTTTAAATTCTGCCAGTTTAACTTAGTTTTACTTATTTTATTGTTGTTTGGAACAATATCAACGCCAAACTTTGGAAGTATGCCAGGACTTTTATTTGGTTTGGAAATGATTTCTCACACCAAACCCTTATTTCAAGTTCTTGTATTTTTACATCCTAATGACTTAGACACTTTAAACTTTAGTTCTTCTATAATTCTGATATTCTGCACTCTAAAACAATGCTTATTACTCTCCTCAAACTTCAAGTTTCTAATCCCTATATTTTTGTAACCTCTATTTCATAGTTTTTTTATATTTCAACTTATTAAACTAGGTCAAATAATAAAGGTTGTAAAAATCAAAAGTTACATGGCATCAGGTTGCAAAGATAGAACGATTAAAATCTTGGAGTTTTAGGCGAGTAATAATTTCCTTTCCATAAGTGAACAGGAAGTGAAATTATCTGTATCCGTTATAGACATTGAGGAGGAGGGGAGTCAAAAGAAAGAGGTATGAAGTGGATGACTGTGTTGTTTGTAGGACTCTCTGAGCTAAATAGGAGAGGAGGGGGGATGACAGAATCTAGATATGAAGGGGGTGACAGAATGTAGGTATGAAGTAAGAGGGTTAAATGGTTTGTAGGACTCTCTGAGCTTACTATATGTTCTAATAAATGTGACTGCAGGGAGACAGGTCTAATCCCCACTCTTTACCCTGAGCCAGGAACTTTTGTGTTAGATTTTATATTCACGATAGCTTGATCTCGATATCCACGGCTAGTGGGCACTTTTAATTTGAGGATCAATGCTTAATTTCTTCATTTCAGTTATCCCTAGAGGGTACAATTACTCTGCGGTATATCGAATAAAGATTAAATTAATCTGCAGAATAATAAAAGATTGAGACTAAGCATTGATCTCGATATCCACAATAAAAATTTCTCACCTCCTCCGGTCCATTTGGAATTTTAGGGTATACAGTATACACTTCTTTAAGGTTCACACGATTAAAGGTTTACATATATATAGGTTACAGGTTTCAATTTGGTTGTTTTAGGATTATAAGTTTTAAGGTGCAAAGAATAAAAGTTTTGAAGGGTCACATGTTCAAAAGTAGTGTTCGCGAAAAATGGAAAGGGGTAATAAGTCTGGATCCCTATTTCTATTTACGGCATCTCTAAGAAGCAAAATTTGAATGTTAATATAAATTAACTAGGGTTGCATAACATCCAAGCCGTAAATTGTTCAGTTCGTTTATTACTTTAAATATTGCCATACATATAAATCGAATATTATTCGGGCCATTCGAATGCAGATAATATGTCATAATGTTATCTTTATTTGACACGAGTGTAACTTTTAAAATATTCATCGCAATTTTGTGGATTTCTAATAAAGAAAAAGATATGTTCAATCACTAAATCGTTCTCTTTTTACTCGAGCGCATCAATCATATTTTTTTACGAAATATAGATATGTTGTTCTATAGCCTAAATGTAGCTTAGACGTAAAATTACCAGCACTAGAATCCATATTTGAAAAGGATTAGACATTTCATTTTTTCGCGAACACTCACCTTTAAAGGTTTACAGGTTTATGTTAAGACTTTTTTCTGAAAATATTTTTTGACCAAATTTTTTATCCTGTTTTTCGAAATTATTGCACACGGATATTTTTACCAAGCTTTAGATGTTAAAGGTTTAATATTTGCCCAGAGCAGAGAACTACAGTGTGTCCCACTAAATTCCTGATAATATTAAATAGAAATAAGACCTGCATGCTGCAGCATGAAAAACACATATATAATTTTCAGAAATATAATTTAAATTACAAAATAAATGTCTTCAGAACTACAGAACTTTACAGAACGACAGAATAACAGAATAACAGAATGACAGAACAACAGAACAACAGAACGACAGAGCGACAGAACGACAGAACGACAGAACCACAGAACGACAGAACAACAGAAAGACTAAGCTACTGAGCTACAGAACGACAGAATACCTGNTTACCTTGGTTACCCCTGCAGAACTACAGAACGACAGAATGACAGAAAGAGCTAAAGATCCTCTAGCTAAGCTTAAATTGATGCAAAACTTAAGTTAAGTTTAACACTGCAATATTGTTGTAATAATCTTGATTTAGCTTTTATATTTTCTTTATTTGTTTCTTCCTTTGTTCCAAGTTTTTATTCTTTGATGGATATATAAGAGTTCGACAGTGTCACCCTTTCCTGCAAACTTTTCTATATACTGCCACTCATACAATTGTATTCAGTCACTAAACAACTAAAACTTTGCCCCGCATATATACTCTCAGGTTCTTTAGACCCACTCCCCTAGTTGACCTTGATTTAAAAAGTGGAAATATATCTAAAAATAAGTCTAGAACATTATTTTTTGTTCAAAATTATCCCCGGATATTTTGAAAACAACTATTTAAGGTTGAATTTATTCTTTTTTTGTCTATTTATTTTATAATAAACTAACTTGGAAACCCAGTTTTGCCTAAAGACCAAATTTTCTCTATAAAAGTCAATCCCCGGTCGATGTTATAATCTCATTTACTGAGGGTAATACTGTATATTTTCCTCCACACAACCTAGGTATACTTACCCAATACTTTTCTTGAAAACTTGAAGTATTGAATATCTGAGTTTTGAGTACATAATAGCTTTTAACTCTACAGTTCACATTCTTCTAGGATCCAGACCAGACCAGACCAGATCAGATCAGACCAGACCAGACCAGACCAGACCAGACCAGATCAGATCAGATCAGATCAGATCAGATCAGACCAGACCAGACCAGACCAGACCAGACCAGACCAGATCAGACCAGACCAGACCAGACAATTTTGTATATAAAATGTACATATATTCTAGAGCTAACCAAAACCCCGCCCTGCTTGTGTTTGGTATTCTATTCTATCGATGGCACAATATCCTAGCTGGCAGGGTCAGTTCTCAGCATCCTACCTGGACAGATGAAGATATATTTCAGGTATTTACATAAAATGAAAACTAGAAAACTGCTTCTCACGTCAAACATAAGCAAATTTAAGCAAATTTTACAAACAATTAAAATCTTTTATGTTAGAAAGAAAGAAAGAGAGAAAGAAAGAAAGAAAGAAAGAAAGAAAGAAAGAAAGAAAGAAAGAAAGAAAGAAAGAAAGAAAGAAAGAACTTTGCATAAAATTAAATGATTTTTTATTGCAGAGTGCTCGGCGACTGAACATTGCAAGTCTGCAAAATATAATTGCATACGAATATCTTCCGGCATTTCTGGGCGAGGGTATCCCAAAATATTCAGGCATAGGGAATATTCTAAACTGGGGTGTAGGCCAGGGGGTAGTGGTTACAACTATAAAACTGTGGAAAACAATGACGACTTTTAGACTAAAAGTATATTTTTATAGACCAATTTCTATAAACATGATGAGACCATAATGTAAATCTATTTCCTTTAGACATATCATGATCAAATAGACTCAAAGATTATTTCCTTGTCGTCTTCATATTCCATAGGTTTATGGGAATCTCTGTAGGATTGCCTCATTAGTCACATTTTTGCTCCAATCTTTTATCTTTTAAACATTCTGATTATTATGACAAATTTGCAATCATGTCGTTTGTTATATTTTTTTAAAGATCGTAAATACTAAATACAGAGAAACCCATAAAGACCGATATTTAATTAAAGATCTAATGACAAATGTTGTCTTCCGGAATACATTTAAAAATAAGTTTTAAAACATAAAGAAAATTATTTAAACTTCCGGAGAACTTTTCCCAAGATATGATTTTTAAATGTTCTCCTTGTGAAGTTATCATCTTATTAATTCGAAATATCATACAGTGAAAACCATCAAACTCTGGAATAGGAAGACGACTTTTAGATTCAAATTATGACTTTAAATACTCCAATGAACATTTGTAGAGTGTAAACAGACACATTTCACTCAATAAGTTGTTTAGTAAGTGACTAGTAAAACTTCCTATTCCATAGTTTTCTGGTTTTCACTGTAGATACCTTAGACTCAGATTAATCTATGAAGTTTAAAGGGACAGACCGGCTTTGTAAGGTAGTTAAGCTGCGTATTCAGTGTTGGGGACAAATTCTAGCTTTAGGATTCATTTGAGACATATAAAACGTTTCCACGATATGCCGGGTCTAGCTGCGATCATATTTATCAATGCATTCGAAATTCTAAACTGGGTCTGCTGAATTTTTAAATAATCAAGTGGAGAATATTTCCCCTGTTACAAGGTTACAACTCAGATATCCACCCTGGCATATCACATGACTTTCAATCCGCAGCGTTCAGGTGAAATTTAAAGTTCTGTAATAGTAGGGATTCTTATTTTTCTAGCTACAAAATGATTTTATTCAATTGTGGTTTCGGTTTGTAATAAAGTAACTTGCGAATTTTTTGTCTACGTGAATTGTCAAAATTTAACAATTATTAAGATAGGAAAACTTAAAATTACGTCGCTTTAAATTGTTTTGTCTAGGTATGGACACACCCTGATTCCTCCTGGTATTTACCAACGAGGTGCTCTAGAAAGAGTTAAATCTTCAAGAAAAAGACGGAATTCCACCGTTCTTCAAGAGAAAATCAAATGTAACTTCCTGAAGGCTCCAGATGGATCATCTGCAACAAGGAACGCGGCCATCTTGACAAGACGTCATTTTGAAAAGATGCTTTTTAAAAAAAAAACGACATCTGACGGCATCTTGTAAACAACGTCATCTTGAAAAGACGCCATTTTGAAAAGTCGCCATCTTTCAAAGACGCATTTAAAAAATTAACAAAATAAAAAGACACCATCTTTGAACAAATATATTTTGGCCCTTGGGGACTATACGGTGTAATACAAGGGGCCTACATTATTAAGAATTATTCATGAGACTACTCGCCTCCCTCCCTTTTCTTGACTTAAATCCTGATTCCCAATGTTTTCTTGTCGTCTAGAATCCTTGAAATCTTTCCAACTGAAACTCAATGAAGCAAACACAATTTAAACAATTGCATGATTTGGCATTTAATCTTATTAATCTGTTAATTTGTTCATCCAAGGAAAACCCACATTATCCTTAATGTTATCTGTAGTGGGCTTGCTAACCCCCACCCTCATACAACCAAAAAAATAATGTCCAGTACACAAACCCCCTCCCCCCCCC